ATATAAATTATAAATATATATATATATATATATATATATATATATATATATATATATTTTAAAACTAGAGTCTCTAAAATGGCATTTCCTGCACTTTAGAAGGAGATTTACAGAGATCTAAAGGTAACAAAATGTCATAAAAGATCTCAAATTGTTTTGTCTACAAGCGTAACTGAAATAATATCAATTAACTTTGTGGTGTATTATTGACTATTGTCAAAAGTGGTGCGGGTGGGGGGGATATATTAATAAAAATGGGGGGGACGCACCCGCCTCCGACGTTCCTGAGCATATCTATATCCCTATTAAGATCTCAGTGTACTGAAATTAATTTTTGTCTGTCAATATATAGTATGACATTCAGGTGCTAAACTAGTGTAACACAGTTACAGTGTCCGAGTGTCGATTTACTTGATTATTGGCAGACATTTTTCGATGTTCTCTTGCGGTCGCAAAAGTAAAATATTTTTTCCACCCCTGATTTACTACAACCAATACTTTAAGTACGCAATATTGTAAAATTTAAGGAAAACCACTTTGAGATAGTTTAAATTATGAACCACTGCTTGCATTAAAGCGCATTATTTATTGTGAATTATCGAGTTAATTAATAAGAATAGCTTAAAAATTTCGAAGATATGAATAAAATCGACAAACACAAAGCAAGTACGCCATAGAAGTTTACTACTGAAAAGTTTACACTTACTCAAACGGGCTCAATAACGATTAAATTATTAAAAACATCGACCAACATCAAACTGACAATTATTACAAATATTTTTTGACGGTTGAGCAGCCACTAATTCATGAAACTGCATGATTATTTCCATTTTAAAATCGAAAAAAAGCTTTGTACTTCTGTAAACTATTTTATAAAATTTAAGACAAAAAATTCCTGTAAAACAGCAAAATACGTCCTTTCAAAATGAAAAACAATTATTGTGTGAGCCGCATGCGCATAACGTCGAAAATCGTCAATAACATAAACAAAATGGAGGACAACTTTGCCCTTCGCTATGTTTTCACATACCCAGGTATAATTAGCCGTGCGGAATTAGTACCGTCGATCCGGGCTTGCGCCCGGAACGGGGCTCCGCGCCGTTGGCTCGGGGACAACAAGTAGCTGAAGCAACTCAGCAGAAGTGTTGAACAAACAACAATGTTTTATGAACGTTAAAGTTCTTCAATGAACGAAGCTCGTAACTTTGCAACATCTTCATGCTCTAAATTGCGCTAGATTTCATCCATTTGTGAAGATTGATCATTTGTGTTGTCGGATCCACAATTGATGGCAGTCGTTTCCTTTCTTAAAGAACGATATATTAAATATGTATGACAGCTACGCACCTCAGTAATCAAGCTGTATTATTTTCGTCAGACTGACAGACTCACATCGCACAGGCTAAAAATTTTTCCTCAGGTTTATTTATATTTTTTGTGGCAGTTTACAGCATTTCACCTTGGCCATATTTATATAATTATCACAATGTTTAATTGTTGCAGCGTTGATGATTCATTTCATTTATAACTATTAATTATTCTCTAAAAATATTGGAATCATGTAATCAAATAATCTGTGAATAATATAAGTACTACTTAAAACATGAGCAGCCGATCTTTATCTGATATACAAACTCGAGCCGAAAAACGTGCTTAAAAAAACGACCCAACTTATGAGTTCATTGGCGAACTAATTTTAAAAATAAGCATTATCTAAGCCGAGAAAAACAAAGCTGAAGTTTATGTAAATCAGGACAAATATTTATCCGATTTACAAACATTGATTAAACATTCATTTCTTTTGTATTTCCGCAAGAATTATTAATGAGTTTTTTAATGCTCAATGACAATGTGATTTTCTTATAGTAACCATGATGAATAGCTCTTAGTAATGGCCTCCTGATATTGGCGGTGCAATGGTTTAAGGCACCTCTGATGCTTGACACTTATACATTTTAATTTTAATTTTTCAGCCAATATTTTCCGTTATTGTCTTCTCAGTATTCTGCAATGTGATAGTCATCTGGCATAGGTACTATATGACAATAGTACCACCACAACCTGTCAGCCTCAACCTTATTATATCTATGGCCTCAACTACTTATTCAACTGTGATTTATTTGTTTTACTTTATTGGTGTTGCCGACTTTGACCACTAAACCTTCCTCACTGACCTCGCCTATGGTAAACCTTCCTCACGGGTGGTACCCGTGTGCCAGCAGCTTTTTTGCAATTCTGCGTTAAAATTGCTAAAATTTCCCGACAAAACTACAATATTACAACTGGCTGAATACTCGCTCAACAGCTGTATTTGAGAAAGGAAAGGATAAAAGTGTCGTAACAAGTAAAAACGTTTGACAATGCTGAATTGACTTTTTGCTTGCCTCGATTTCATGCATTGAATACGGCCGTCCAATACTCTTCTTGTAAGGTCTTGTCTGGACATAACTTAGGATTCAGAGCATGTCTCCGCCATTCTCCCTCTGCTTCTTTGCGGTTGGCAACATCTTTAAGATATGGCAAATTGTGATACCCTTCAATCAATGATCATGATGGTGGGGACAATGCACAGGCTGATGCAGGTGCAAGACAGGACAAGATGCAGGTCTATAATAGAGTAATTTGTACCGGCAATACTTTTAAAAACATCATGTCCTCATGAAACTCCTTAAAAAATTTAAAATTTCCTCAGTTTATGGACATTTCCTTAAGGTGGCTCGATATATTAATCCACAGTCTGGGAGGGTTAACATAACATAACATAACATACTATTTCTAGTTATATATGTGATTCAATCTAAGTTATATATAGTGTTCACTGGGCTTTCGTTTTATATATATTTAGTATGTAATAGATTATTCATATTTGTAAAATTAATATTTTAACGACCCCTTGAAAAACAGTTTAAACTGAAGGGCTACCGTTTTTAAATAAGATGAATAATAATAATAACACAAAATTCGTTATACAAGAATCGCGAAAACCACTGCAATGTGAGACCACTGCAATGCAGTCGAACTCATTCGCCCACTTGAACTATCGAGCCACGACAGTGCGACGAACTATAAATACCGACACGTATCGACAGTGAAGTTGATGAAACTCCTCTAAATGTCCTACGAATCCGAATCTCAAACGAATTTTTGACTGCAATGCGCTCAGCGGTCTGAAAGACCGTGGGCGCATAAATGAAATCGATTCACCTTTATGCAAAGGGATGTAGTCTTTCGAAGAGAGGTAACTGATCTAACTTTTTGGAACAAACGTCATCGTTGTATCATTTGATTAGACGAAACGTTTTCCCTCGCGTGAGAAAATTTTTTCGCATTTCTCATTGGCTTATATATGCATTGCAAAGCGAGTTTCTCATAAGTTCATCCTATCGGAAAACTAAACATCTATATAAGAAGAAAATTACCGTAATCTCTGTTATAAACCCCGTGCAGCCTACTTTCTCAGATACCTTCAAGGGGGGGGGGGGGGGAAAACAGGAAGGCTTAAAAGAGTTGGAGGTTTCTTTAACTTTAAATAAAGAGGGCTCAATACCAGCGATTACGGTAATTTCAGAACATATAATAAAATGAAATAATATCATAAAAATGTAATAATATTTTAACCACATCTTATTACATGACAAATAATCCAATATTAATAAAATGTTAGCCAAAAACAACAGATAATTACAAATGATCTTAGTTCATTCATGGTTTGCAATCAACCCCTTTAAGAAACAAGACAAAGACATGTACATGGCATGGCTGCTATTTTGGAGGAAAACACGCTTCATTTCAGTCCAAATACAATGGCTGTTTAATGACGATTCTTTTGTTAGTTTTGCTCCAACATGGCTGCCATATATGACATCAATTGCAAACCAAGAATTGTAAATGCTCCCTGAATCAACAAATCAACTATCACCAAAATATCAATCTCATTTTCAGTATTTAACAGTTTATACTGTATTTAGCAAGTTTAAAAACAATATCAAACAATCCCAATTCAATTTCAAGTTAAATTTCAAAAAACAACATATCACACAAAATATTTTCAATTTATCTTGCCTGGGGAAGCATATTGTCATGTGTATTCGCATGATCTTCAAGTTCAGTTGCAATTTCAAACTCTGCATCACAGACACAACAGATATAACCAATACCAGTTGCTTCTCTTGCTTCCAATTCCTTACAGACATCACATTGGTAGAATGTACCTTGCTCTTTGGCCTTGTGCTGATTGAAACTGTGAATATCAGGGAACCGTTTGTTGCATTTATCGCACTTAAAATTATCAAAACTCAGTATCTGATTAGGATGTCCTTGTTCTTGTGACTGACTGATTTCTCTGCCACAAGTGTTGCACAACAATAATCCACCTCTTGAATGTAATCTCCAGTGACGTTTGAGACTTTTTCGTTGTGTGAATGTTTTCTCGCAGATACGACACTCAAAACTCTGTTCACTCTTGTGTGCTGATATTTTATGTTGTGTTAACTTGAGTGATTCTGAAAATCTCTTGTTACAAACGTCACATTCATAAGGTTTGTCTCCAGTGTGTGTTTCCTTGTGGGTAGCTAAGTGGCTCAATTGTGAAAACCCTTTCTTACAAACATCGCATTCATACCGTTTGTCACCAGCGTGTGTTCTTTTATGTCGAGTTAAACTACTCAGATCTGAAAATCTTTTGTTGCAAACATCACATTCATAAGGTTTGTCTCCAGTGTGTGTTCTTTTATGAACCACCAAGTGGATCGACTGTGAAAATCTTTTGTTGCAAACATCACATTCATAAGGTTTGTTTCCAGTGTGTGTTCTTTTATGAACCGCTAAGCAGCTCGACCGTGAAAATCTTTTGTTGCAAACACCACATTCATAAGGTTTGTCTCCAGTGTGTGTTCTTTTATGTCGAGCTAAACTACTCGGATCTGAAATTTTTTTGTTGCAAACATCACATTCATAAGGTTTGTCTCCAGTGTGTGATCTTTTATGAACCACCAAGTGGATCGACTGTGAAAATCTTTTGTTGCAAACATCACATTCATAAGGTTTGTCTCCAGTGTGTGTTCTTTTATGAAGCACTAAGTGGCTCAACTGTGAAAATCGTTTGTTGCAAACATCACATTCATAAGGTTTGTCTCCAGTGTGTGTTCTTTTATGCCGAGTTAAACTACTCAGATCTGAAAATTTTTTGTTGCAAACATCACATTCATAAGGTTTGTCTCCAGTGTGTGTTCTTTTATGAAGCACTAAGTGGCTCAACTGTGAAAATCGTTTGTTGCAAACATCACATTCATAAGGTTTGTCTCCAGTGTGTGTTCTTTTATGCCGAGTTAAACTACTCAGATCTGAAAATTTTTTGTTGCAAACATCACATTCATAAGGTTTGTCTCCAGTGTGTGTTCTTTTATGAAGCACTAAGTGGCTCAACTGTGAAAATCGTTTGTTGCAAACATCACATTCATAAGGTTTGTCTCCAGTGTGTGTTCTTTTATGCCGAGTTAAACTACTCAGATCTGAAAATTTTTTGTTGCAAACATCACATTCATAAGGTTTGTCTCCAGTGTGTGTTCTTTTATGAAGCACTAAGTGGCTCAACTGTGAAAATCGTTTGTTGCAAACATCACATTCATAAGGTTTGTCTCCAGTGTGTGTTCTTTTATGCCGAGTTAAACTACTCAGATCTGAAAATTTTTTGTTGCAAACATCACATTCATAAGGTTTGTCTCCAGTGTGTGTTCTTTTATGAAGCACTAAGTGGCTCAACTGTGAAAATCGTTTGTTGCAAACATCACATTCATAAGGTTTGTCTCCAGTGTGTGTTCTTTTAT